TCTTGTTGTGTAACACCTGTTACCTCCACAAACGAAGTTGGGAAAAGCTGAAAGAGGACTGTTTTTGCAAACACTGAAGGACGGTAACTGATGCTACAGACTGGATTTGTGGTAAAGCTTTGTTCTGATCAGAGTAGAAGGGATTAGTCAGTGGTCAATTAGCCACTCACTTTTTCCTTTTTATTTTTGGCTGAATACACAATTCTTTACTTGAAATGACTCATACTTCCCATTTTTTATTAATAAAAGATAGCAAAACAAAGAAAGATAGCAAAACAAAGAAATCATTCTAAAATTCTAAAAGTTATCTCACTTCCGTATTTATTTTTTAAATTCATATATATATATATATATATATATATATATATATATATATATATCAATTTAATTTGTCAACTTGGAATTGGCATTGCAAAGATGTCTGATACTGGGTAGCCATTAGGCCAGGCAATATTTTTCACTAGTCTGCACATTCATAAGCATAATTTATTCTGCCTTTTTGACTGTCCAAATGGCTTTCCGGAATTATTTTCTCTACTGAAATGTGACCCAACTAAAAAGTGGCAAGAAGTCAAATCTGTCAACCTAAAAAAAAATGAGGAAAAACAATATTTTCCACCCTGCATAAGCCTAGTTGTTAATGTCAATAAAGTAATTTCACACATAAAATGTAGTATTAATTCAAAGGAAACATATATAATATGATGGTAGTCACCATCACTGGGAGCAGACAAGGGTATAGGTGAGTATTTGGGCTATCCCGAGTAAAAAATAAAGCTGTGCATGTTAGCATCTTTTGGAACTGTGTGTTCTGTGTGGATTTGTTCAGGGATATCAGTAACAGAGTCTTCTGACCTGTTGACTGGCTGCATGATCCCTCTAGACACAGACAAGTCAAGAACAGAGCTGTGCCTGAGAGAGGCAAGTGTCTTCATAAAGGCAAAAGCTATTCATAGTGTAGGCAGGGGTGTGGATACCTGCCTGGGAAGGAGAGCTGCAGACAGGATGATACTTGCCTGGGAGGAAAGCGCTCCAGAGAGACCACAGTCAAGTTTTGGTGACTGGGACTGGTGCATTGCAGGGTTCCGGCAAGCGGCTAGGAGGCGGACTTGGCGGAGGTACTCATTTGGAGTACAGGAGCTCCGCCACATATAATTTTGTCTCCTCATAAATCAGTGGTAAGAATCCACCTTAAATATGCAATGCCACTATCTATTTTAAAAGAAGATATTATGAAACTAGAAAAGTAGAGAAGATGGATAAAAAATAATAAGGATAATGATAATTATTAGTATGAAGAAAAGCTAGAAAACTTGAACTTCTTTACTTTAGTGGATACAATATTATATAAATATAAACAGGGCCAGTACAAACAGCTCTCTCATAATCTACTCATCAGTAGGGCTGTACAGAGAACAAGAGGTCAGCTATTTATGCTTAGAAAACAATTTAATCTAAAGAAAAATTTTAATTTACTTTCCATGTTACATTAATAACAATAAAAAAGTAAAATTATATCACTCAAAGGTTACTTTACCAGTTTCATATTCATTTTCTAACTAACACCTGGGTGATAATTAGAACAGAATATTTGAGAATATAATGGTTAATATGTGGAATACCACCTGCTGATCTTAAGAGAAATCTGAAGGGTTTTATTTCCAATTGTGTGGCAATATTGGAAATCATTTTAAATTTAGTTTTACCACCTTCTTTGGGATCACCAGCAGTAACAAAGATGTGTGAAATAATGAACTTAATAGATCTGAATATTATTTTAGCCTGTATTGCAGACTTGTCTGTTACCATCACAGCTATGATACTGTTTAACAAACTGAAGAAACACAAAGAAGGGAACAGGATTAATTATTTATTGATTGATTTATAAAACATTTTACCAAGAAGGATACATTTAGATTTCTCTAGTTTACATATATGTCCAGGGATCACAAACACTAGTGTCTAATCCTTGCTAAATCTAATCTTAGTCATGAATTAGTCAAAAACACAAAACTGATCATCAGACCAGCTGACAAAGGTGGCATAATAGTTTCCAAGTCTGTATTATCAACACTATATATAGATATTGAGACGATTGGACATGCATATAAAAAGCTATGGCAAAACCCCTCTAAAATATCTGCAAAAAAAATTAACTATGCATCAGGTGGGAAATGACTCAACAATTCAAGGCATTCCAATAGCATAATCTCTCCTAGAGAAATTGTTCTATAATTTGTATTTCTAGAATGCACTCAAATGTCATACATTGTGTTAGTAGTAGTTAGAGCAGTCTGCTTGAGCCTATGGTTACATGATTTGACTTTTAACGTAAAATGCTAGTTTTAATATTGTGCAAATGCTTTTGATGAGCTTCAGATTTCCTTTGACAAATCAAACACATTCTTGTTTAGAACACAGAAGTAATCTGTCATCGCAAGATGATATCATCATTTGTACATACATCATGACATCTATTGAATCCAAGATAAAGATACTAAATCCTACTCTGACAAAAATTTCAATCATTGTATATTTGCTTAACATCTCTGATCATGGCTATTTTTTCAAATTTGATAATTTAATTCCAATAAATAGGAATATAAATGCCTCCATTCTATAGAATAGCAGCTAGGATAGTAGTATGAAGATGGATTCAAAAACCATACTGCCCCTAGAACTAGAAATATTAAAACTTGGGTTCAAACCTGTGATACACAAACTATAGAAAATTATACTGCATTCCAATAGTTAATGTTCAAAAAAAGAAGGATTTTTAATTTATATTATATAAAAAAGAAGCAAATGCAATATAAATTTTACAGTGAAGCAAAGGTAATTGTTTCCTTATGGGGGATATATAGCACATCACTCCACACAATAAAGGGTAAACATAAAAGTTATATAATAAGTCTTGATCCAATCTCGGTATTATTTTCTATATTTTTGTCTTAGTATTTTGAGGTTCGCAGAGTTGGGGAACCTAGATACTCGCACCAAACAACAGTTTGAGTGCCAACATATAGAAACATAGAATGTGACGGCATATAAGAACCATTCATCCCATCTAGCCTGCCCAATATTTCAAAATACTTTTAATTAGTCCCTGACCTTATCTTTTTTTTGATGCACTAACTATATAACATAGTTGAAAGCATCCATCTTTCACCAAAATCACTGCCATAATGATAGTTAAACATTCCCAACAATGGGGGGAGGGGTGGGCATGACTGCGGAGCAAGCTGGACGCACGCTGCTAAAGCTCCGTCCTGTACCTGCCACTAGAAGCCACATTTTGCACATAAAACTATGAAAAATCCGACCTAACCTAACCATGGATAAGAGGAATCCAAAGACGCATACTAAAAAGGGCCTGGAACCAGGAGCGACAATAGCCGACCTGTTCACGTCCTCCAGAGCCGGCCCACCACAGGCCCAAGATGGCAACAGAGATGGCCAGTCAGCATCCAGCTCACTATGATGGGTGGACCCCCCTGCGGACCCCCTTGCAGACCCTCCTGTGGACCATCAGATACGGGACATGCCGCAAATTCTGGCTCAGCTAGCCGAGGTACAGACCTACCTGGTGAACAAAATTAAAAAGTCCACAGCTGTTTTCCAGGGTGAGATACGGGCCCTTGGGGAGAGGACCACGAGGCTGGAACAACAGCAAGAGGCTACTGTGGAAACACACAATACCGCAGTCCTCCAGGTGAACCGCCTTACCGCTCGCACGGACCCCACCAGTTTACTTTTGCTATTCCAAGCTTTACCTCTACCAATCACTAAAGCTGGGTTGGCACCGCTTCAAAAAGACGCAGGGTGTCGCAAAACGTATTGTACCATACAAAACAACTGGGAGGTCTATGATTGCCCAATCTATACTTATATTATTTTGCAGCAGTTAGCTTAGGTAGCCATGTGGCATGCCTCCTTGGAGGTGAGAAAGTGGGTAGATCTCGAGTCACTCCTGATGGAAGCAGACCTCCCACAATACCTTATGTGATATCAAAGGAATTCAGGCCTATGATATGGACAACGTGCCCAGCCATCTTAAACTGCCTTTGGCTGTGGGACGCTTCAGCTCAGAAATATAGCCTTGCCTCTCTCCCTCACCACTAATGACATACCTAAGGAACAGAGCATTCGCCCCGGGACTAATGGCTCATGATTTCCGACACCTGGACCAGGCAGGGTTGCAGAGAATTTGCCATCTCTTTGAGGACGGGAAAGTTGTCCCTTTTGATGTCCTCAAACAAAGATGTCATCTTAACCCAGCAGATTTCTTTAGATATCTGCAAATAGCAGATGTTGCTAAACAGCCCCACATCAGGGAACCAGCACACACTGCTTTGACATTTTACGAGAGGCTATGGTTGAACAATGTGGCGAAACCGACCTCGCCACTGGGCATTGGAGAAGACTGATTGCCAGCCTCCTGCCATGTGACTATGGCCCCTTGGATGTATTGCCCTTTAAAGACATGATTTGGGCATAATAGATTTGTGTTGTTCTGCTGCTGGCCCTTTAAGAACCATCTGGGGACATACTGTGGAGTTACTGGGTGGCCGCCATTTCATGTATCAGAGGTACATGGTGAGAACAATGGATGAAGCACATGGTGAGAACAATGGATGGTGGCCATTTTAACTCACAGACACTGTTTGGACTTTTCTACACAGTGCCATCTCGCCGGTATTTGGTGCACAGAGACATCGTGCAGTGGTTTTGGACTTTACAACAGGGGACACATTATACAGTAATTGTTTTTCATTTAGCCTGTATATGTTCTGTGGAATCTGCATTAAACTGTATCTTCCAAAGTACTGAACGGATCTGGGTGAATTTTGGATATGTGGTTCACCCAGATCCCCCGGTTCCAAGGATATACTTATATGTATTTTATGGGGTTATTGCATGTTTTGGGGTCCCTGTGATGTGTTTTATAGTACTGTATTTCTCTGCCTGTGATAATTAGATTAACCATGGCAGAGGGGAGGATTTTGTGTGGGAGTGTCTGTGTGTATTGTACAGATTGATTGGCTGTGTTTCAAAACCCTGTGGGCAGTACTATGTTTGTGGATTGTGAATAAAAGAGGCTGTATGTGCCAGTCCAGTCAGTTCTGCTTGATCTCAAAAACGAAGTGTCGTCTCGTTATTGGGGGAATTGGATTGTATGCTGATTGCCAGGAGTGTAAGCTGATTGTATGCTTTTCCTGTTCAGCTGCTTACAGCATTCATATGCTTGAGAGCATTTGTATGCTTCTCCGGTTCGGTGGTTGTGGTGTCCACTGCAGTGCTTGGAGTCCGCAGGAAGCGCTAGGAGCATCCTTCAACGGAGGTACCCAGTCGGGGTGCCGGGTGATCCGTTACAAACAAACTATCACCTAAAGGACTGATCACCCAAATGTATGCCCAACTCTGCATGGAGACGAAGGACTAGGGTAGATTGACATAAATAGACCATTCGGAGAGGGACTTGGGAGAGGTACTCGAAGGCATGGAGTAGCCGGAGGTCTGGGAAGCCAGCAGCTCCTCCTCCATATGCGTGTCTATGCAGGAACAATACTTTAAGACTCTATTTCAGTGGTATACCACTCCGGTGAAGCTGTGTCAGATGCAAAAGAGGACATGTGTTGGAGGAGTTGCGGCTTCAGGGGCACCTTTCTTCATATGTGTTGGGACTGTCCCAAAATCAGGGTCTTCTATGTTGTTGCTGCTGCTGCTGCTCCCCCTATATTTCAAATTCCTTCCATTGTGGTTTTGCACTGCCTTACGGAGTCTTACCTCCACAGACATAGTCGGTACAAGCTGATAGGGTACAGCTTTTTTCACAATGAAGGACAGTCACATTGACTGAATCTGTGGAAAAATGTTGTTCTTGTCAAAGTGGAAGGAATGAGTGGATGGCCACCGACTTTTTCCTTTCATTTTGGATAAAAAGCACAAAAAAAAAAAAGGTAAATGATCACAATCAAGCATTGTAAAATTAAATGCTCCCACTTCCTATTTTTTTTTTAAATCCACATATATAATAATTAATTTTTTTTTTTTAAGTTTTAGAATTTTTCTCCCTGCACGTGTTTAGTAATTAGGGTTGTGCCATTTTAATATTTGGTATGTGCTCCTTGTAGTCTGCTTGTTCATTGTATCTACAAATTCAAGTTTTTAACTGATACCACTTATCAATGGAAGTATGTGCCTTTACTCGAGAATTTTGCGAGAACGACTGAGTTCCACTATTGTAGTTTAATGTACTGTTGTTTAATGTTTAATTTGACCATTGCAATTGTATGTATATATGGCATTTTATTTAATTATTGTTAACATTAACACTGGATCACACAGCACTATTTTTTTCATTTATTTATTTTTTTATTTCTATTTATTTGTTTAAAAACAAATAGTAGACATATCATATATGTTCTTAAAAGTAAATGCAACTTACATTATTAACCTATATCCTCACTTTCTATATGTTTATGTCAAAATACTGGTACAAATAAAACTGATCCAAGAAGAATTATTTTACAAACTGCTTTATCCAAAGGATGTTTGTGCTCTACAGAGCCATTCAATCTGCTATTTGTTTGGAAAACGTCCTTCTGTCACATTCAATATAAATCACATAGTCATAAATAGCAGGTGAATGACTTAAGCCAAAATTACAAACCACAGGTGTCCTTATTTGCAAAATTCTACTCTTCAGTAAAAACAGATTCCAATGTTGAATAAACTCTTCAGTCATTTAAGTGAATTTGTTGTAGCAGAGTTTAAGCTTTTTGGAGCCAAAAAAAATCACAAATCAACCTTTTTCACTCAGTTTTTCAATTTTCCAATAGAAATTGTATTGGTATAAAAAAGTTAAGAAACAACAACATTTAAATCATATATCCCATCAAATCCCTTGTAAATTAGAAAATACGTTGGGAAATTAATAAGTACCATTTTGTTATTCTTTTTAATGCCATTGTTGACAGTAAAGAACAATTTAAAATAATAGTAAACATACATTTTTCAGCCTGTACGAATGTGTGACTTTATGGGTAACATACTTAATCAAATTCTTCATAATTGAGTAGGATTTTATTTTTTATTTGTATTATTGCTTGTACCTATACTTAAAAAACAAAAAAAGGACTCTACTTGCATCTGTCATTCTCATATAATCACAATTTTATCAAGACACGGATGCTCCTTTTTATGCTGCTCTCTTTCTTTATTTCTCTCAGCAGCAAAGAAAAACATTAAATCAGTCTAAAACAAGAAACCAGTAAATAACATGAGAGGTATCGCTTCCTAGCAACAGGAACAACCAATCAGCATCCTCTCCATTGCATTACAAGCGTCGTCTAGTATACTACTTCCTCTTTCTTTGCTGCTCACTCAGTTAAGTGACACTGGGTCCCACGGTACTTAACAGTGGGATCTTTTACTTTTATTCGTATTGTTACTGTAGTTAATATAGTTATAGTTATTACATTTTAATTGTAATATTTTCATATTTATAATTATAGAAATATATTTCATTACTTCATTGTAACTTACTTTGATGTAAATACTTAATTTGCTTCAGTTATATGCTTTATTGTATATCCTTTGATAATTTCTTTCCCCTCTGACCTCCCTGGAACCAAGATTACCATCAATTTTGGCTCAGGGATGTCTTTGAGGATCTGTATCCCTTGCACAGTGCTACTGTGCTGTTTTTTCCCTTCATTCATCTGTCTGGCTGCTACTCTGCCCCCAACTCCCTGAAATCTGAGTT